CCAGGTATCAATATTGTTTAACAGCTCTCCAAGTGATTCTAATGTGCAGCCTGAGTTGTGAACCATGTAAGAGCAGAGGTACTGGAGTCCAGCGGTGCCTGGGCTCAAGTCCCAACTATGTCAATTAAGTAGCTGTGTGATCTTAGGCAAGTTAATTAGCTTTTCTGTGCCTCATCTCTAAAATGGGGATATTAATAGTCCTTCCTTGTAGGGTGGTTGGGAGAATCACCTGAGTTAACAACTCATGGCAATAGCTTTGAACAGTTCTCTGCACAGTAAGTGCTGTATAAATGTTACTATTGTGATGATTAGCAGCATGTGCTGGATTTTTCCTCCCTCCTGCTCTCCCTCCCCAAGTGCCTAAGCTGGGAGAGGAGTGTGGCTTCCTGTGCCCCACCCCCCTCGTTTTCCCTTGAGAAGGGTACAGAACTCTTCAGCACCCTTCTCGGGCTCAGCAAGCCCTGCCAGCCTTAAGGCAGGTAAACCGAGAAGCTAAGCTGTTGCCACTGCAATGGTGAGCATAGCATCCTGCATCTTTAGAGATGGGGAGACCGAGTAGCTCTTTGGGGTAGTGAGAGGAAGGGAGATCCCCCTTTGGCTTCACAGAGAATTGAGATACAACCTATTCTATATCACAGCAGCAGGATCTGCACACATGCCTTGCAATTCCTTCAGGAAGCCTTTCCTGATCTCAAATTTCTCTGAGCTCCTGTATTATCAACATGGTCCTAAATTACCTGCTGCCTTTTCTATTTATTTATTTGCCTTCTGTGTTTTCTCTCCTTCAGACAGTAGGTTCTTTTAGAGGCAAGGACTATGTCTTCTTGGAGAAGTATCAGTAAAAGCAGGGAGGAGAAAATGAAGGAAAATGGGATATCTTCTTTGGATTATAGATACCTCCTTAATGCTTAAAAGTTTATATATGTGTAGTGGGAAATGACTCTGCTTCTTTAACCCCCTCTTCATCTCCCCCCATACTACTATATCCCTAAAACACCCCTAACCCTAAGTACCATTTTCATGGGGAAAAATAGCATGAGTGTTCTTTCTCCTGCTTTTACAGCAGGTTAATAAATTGCCACTATTACAGGGTATTCCAGCTTATATTGATGAGGCAGGTACAGAAATAAGCTAATGGGTAGTTCCTATAAAGAGATATTTCCCATGCATAGAAATGCTACTCTGTAGGAGAGGAGATTTAGCTTTTTCTTGGGGTGGGGGGAAGAATAAGGAATAACATAATAAAGTAATTAAACTATAAAACAATTGCTGACAAAATTTCTACAAAATTTTCTCCCTGTTCTCCAACATTAAAATAATCATGATTTGAATAGACTGCATCTGTGTTCTCTTTTTTTACCCCTCTTTTCTGCAAATTTATGATTTGGATCCCAAAAGTTAAAGATCTTTTAAATAAAATGTATTAGGCAAAAACATATTTAAAGCCCCTTCTGTTTCTTAAGTTAGAAGACGTGGTATTAAGAGTTAAAACTATTACAATAAACGGCCTAATTTCAATGGCACTTGGGCTTAGTTTTAAAATATAGAAATGAACATGGTGACTAAAAATTCTGGGTAGGTGGGGCCTGATCTCATGTATATATCAGTGGTGTCAAAACATGAAGCTATCTTGTTAGCAAGTATCTAGATGCCAGAAAGGGGTCATTCTAGATTATGATTTCTCCTGGCTGAGTTCATTCGTTTCTGCCAAAGAAGGGAATCCTGAATTTTAAGCTAGAAATAAAATTAGCTTTAAACCTAAAAATTATTCTAGAGAGATACTGCTTTGTTGGTTGAGGCTATTATAACTGTTACATACATAAATAGCTTATTTTATTGGTCTGATTAAATGATCCCCATGTGTCCTTCTGAAACTTTCTGCAATCATTCCTCATTGACTACCATCTCAGCCAGAAGAAAAGAAAAAGTGATGAACTCCAGGCTTCTTCATCAATGAGCTCAGCCAATAAGCCAATAGAGGGTTCAGTAGGCACCACTGACCTTCCCAGGAAAGCTACTAGCATGAAAACTGAAGAAACATGGCACAGAAACACAGCAGTAAAATTCAAGAGACTAAAATAAACTCGGCGAGCCTGCCTGGTCGCTAAACACTGAATACATTTAAGTGCTATTTTGACAAGAGAGCATGGCGGCTTTTTAAGAATTTCATTTTTAAAACTCTAATACGATTTTGTTCTTCTAACAGCATCATCCTGGGTCTGTGTTTGCTCCCCGTGAGGTCATTATTAAGTGAATTGAATTATTGTTCTGTTCAAATGACCTGTGCGTTCAACGTGTGCCGAGCTCGAGCAAGAAATGTTTTATGTATTATTGGGAGATGGCCATCTGGGGCACAAGCCGGGCCTCCTAACATGCAGAAATGTGGGGAGACAGTTTATGTTCAGTCTTATCTATGATCAGAATTCCATTTATAAGCTTTTTTTCATCCACTTGTCAACACTGTTCACTATAGCAACACTGAAAATGGCCAGAAATGAACAGATTTATCAGAACAATGTGAGGTCAGACTGTATATTTCAATTACTGTATATTGGATTTTTATCATACATTTTACATTTTCTCCATAAAAATAGTAACAATGTAATAAAAATGGAAGTAGTTTTCTTTGATCAACTTCCAGTTAGTGTAAGTTACAAAGTGAATAAGATAGATTTCATGACTTTTAATAAAGGGTCTCACATTATATATGTATGTTTTAAATATAACATGGTTGTCCATGCCAAGAAACATGGATTAATTTTTTTAAGTCTGAAGAATACTACTCTTCCCTTTCCTGCATATTTAATGAGACAGCATGGCAGTATGTAAAATTAAATTTTAAACTTGAAGGTTACATTTTACCACACCCTCCCAACCTCTTCATATATTTTTCAAGTAAACTTTTGATAACGCTGAAGGCATGTTGGACCAAAGGAATGATTTTACAGTATCTTATAGAAGGTCTGTGTACAATATGATTTTACACTATATTTCATAAGGCATATATCTTACATAAGACACCAGATAGTCTGTATTACAAAATGAAAAGATTTTCAGGTATCTTTTTCTGGTTGTTTTTTGATGTTGTTGCACTGATACCTCAATTGACAATAGGAATTCACCTCATGATGAAGATGACAATCTTACAAGGGGAAGAAGACTCTTACAAGTAAGTCCTTCTGACTTCCCTTCCTCCCTCCTTCCTTCCCTGCACTCTTTCCTCCCTTTCCTCCTTCCTCTTTCTTTTTTAAAATAAAAATCTTCTTAAAAAATCTTCTAAGTTGGATAAACTAGTATTGACTTCGGACATACAACTGTATGGTTTAAATATATCTGGATTTTAATTTTCCTTGTAAGTGGGAGATGTTTGTTAGAGAAATGACTAGTATCAGCAAACAGGTAGAGAGATAAGCTTTGTTCACAAATGTATCCCTGGAGTCATATTACACTCACTCACCTTGAAAGTATCATAATGGAAATGAAGATAATGATGATGAAGATGATATAGCCATGATAACTAGCATTCAATGAACACTATGTGCCTGTGACCAGGCTAAGTGTTTGACAGGCATTGTCTTATTTGCTCTTCACAGCAACCCTCTGAAAGCAGATAATGTCATCTTTAGATGAAACTAGGTTTCTGAAGCTAAGAAACTTACCCAAGGTCAATTATGAGGGTCCCATTCTAGGTCTGTGTGACCCGCCCCCAGGGTTCTAGAGAGACGGAAAAGGTAGAATATGTGATGACTATCCCCAGTTTCGACCAGTCAAAGAGTAGACGTCAAGCCAAGTAGAGGCCAGAGGCTTTGCTGTGGCTGTGAGCAGTCTCAACCTTCTGAGTTTAAAAGTGTCCACCCTGGTCTTGCTTTTTGTAGGACCTGAAGCCCTTGGCTCGGACCCAGATCACTTCAGCAATTCCTTGCTCTATATCTTCTCCATATCCACCTCTTTGGTGCACTTTAATATGTCTGTTGCAGGTGTGTTTATTTAGTATTTGCTTGATGTTTCATATCATGACTCTTCTTTCCTACTGTTCTGGAACACACATCTCTTACAATGGACAAAATGGAACATCTGCCTCCTTCTAAATTCCTCAGCTTTTGTTATTATGGCTCAAGGCAGGGCTCTGCTGGGACTAGAGATTGTGCCTCGTCCAAAGAGGTTAGCTGGCCACCCACAAGTGGCCAGAAACAAAGCACTCAGCACAATAAGAATAGCAGTGTCATTAGCTGACCTCCTGGGATCTGAACTGGAAAACTGGGGGAGTACTGATCCATAGGAGTAAAGGCAGAATGGAACAGACACTCTGAGGAGCAGAGATGCCATGCAGCAGAGGCCAGAAGAGAGAGACCTAAAGAGTGGCTGGCCCTAAACCTGTCCCAGTTTTTCCACTTACAGTCTCTGCATATGTATCCTTGGACTTTTTCTTAGGGAGACCTTAGTGAGGCTCTGTTCCTTGTACCCGCAAAAACCTGGCAGTCCATATAAGCATCTTATCACCAACACCCTTCAGTGGCTTCTTTTTTCCACCTCTGTCCTTGATGGTTTAATTAGGAGGGATAATAGTCAGGATCCTCTCCTTTGCAAGTGACAGAAACCCAACTAAAACCACCCTAAGAGAGAAACAAACTACAAACCAAGGTGAGGGCGAGAAGATGAAAGATGTGCCACAGGAATGTTTGCCAAGGGAAGAAGGTCACGCACCCACAGTTGGGGCCCAAGAACATAACACCTGATTCTAAGCCCACCAGGAATAAATGATTGGAGTCGGGGAAGAGTAGTTCGGCCAGGGAACAGGAAGACTCTTCTGTGCAGACAAAACAAACCACATCTATGAAAAGAGGTGTAGCTATACAACTTTACTATACCATTTACAAAGAAGGAGAAGAGCAAATTGCTCTTTGTCTCATTTCCCAAGGTCTTCGTGCAGACCTACTCCACGTTCCCTGCCCCATCCCAGATCGCTGGTTCATCTTCATTACCTGAAGACATTCACTCACCTTCACCTTACAGTCATCCTCACCACAAGGCCCAGCAACTTGAATGAATTGAGGACCTCAGAAGAGAACAGTGGAAGCTCTCTTTTCTTTCAAGCTCTCAATGTGTGATCCATGGACCAGCAGCAGCACCTGGGAATTAGTTAGAAATGCAAATTTTTAGGCTTCATCCCAGACATGCCAAATCAGAAACTCCAGGGGTGGGGTCCAGGAGTCTGTGTTTTAACAAGCCCTTACGTGATTCTGAAGCTGGCTAAAGTTTGAGGATTTCTGCTTTATGCCACCCTTTCAACAGTCCCTTGTTCAGATGGTTTATCCAAAGCATTCCCGAGTGAAGCCTGTTGGGTCCCAAAATGTTGTCCTATCATCACCACGCGTATTTCAGCAGGGCCTCTATGTGTCCACTCTGTGGTGCCACTATCCACTATGCTACTACTATGCATCTATTCATTGCCATCTGGGGCATCCAAAGAGATCCCAAGAAGAATCTGAAGGATAAGGGCAGATAGAAACATTCTATAGGGTTCTCTTATATGGCTCATTCACGGCAAGGTACTCCTGCAATGAGAATGTGCACTTTCCTGTGCAGGCACAAACACATACATCTGAAGTATACTCGGGGGCACTTCTTTGTGTCAGCTACACAGGCTCATTGCGGACCCAAAGACGTTAGCGGTGGTTTCTTTTCTTTCTTTCTTTCTTTTTTTAAGATTTTATTTATTTATTAGACCGAGAGATAGAGCCAGAGAGCACGAGCAGGAGGAATGGTAGAAGGAGGGGGAGAAGCAAAGCAGGCTCCCAGCTGAGCAGGGACCACGTACCCAGGGTCAGTCCCAGGACCTCAGGATCATGACCTGAGCTGAAGGCAGATGCTTAACCCACTGAGCCACCCAGGCGCCCCTTAGGGGTGGTTTCTTGGAGAAACCTCATCTTCTTTATGCATCTAAAAGCATTTGCTTAAGAAACCTCATGGGCTTAAAGAAGAAAACTTGAGTCCTAAGTGTCTTCTTGCCCAGTTTTCCTTTTTATATTGTTAGAAATCTGAGCTCATGTTTTTTTCTGCACCATGAACATCTTTAGGGTATCTTATAAATGCTGTGCATCCAGTAAGTGTGGAGGAGACAAATACTGGTGGCCCCCACTGCTCTTGCTTCAAACCATCAGTAATGATTTCTGGCCTCTTCATTTAGAAATAGATATTTGTTTGCATATCTTGAAGTTCCTAATATTAAAATGTCCCCACTTACTACTTAACCAAAAAATTATTCTAAAACAGTTTGATATTTAGAACATGAACTTATCAATATGTAAAATACAAACCCATGTTTTGGGTAAGTATAATTATTTGAACACCAAAGATCATAAGTATTAATAGCAAATGAATTTTAATTTTTGTCCTTCGTATCCTCTGGGTGCAATAACTCTTGTACAATCATCTAATCTACAATTTCACCTTTAAGCCGAAACTGCTTCTGCCAGGAAGGAGTTCTCATCCCAGAGTAAAAGGATTTGCAAGCAAGGATTCATAACAGAAGTGCCATCTCAGCCTTATTGGTGGGATTGTGAAGTGATAATTTAATTTAATTACATGATAATTTAATATCCCCTGTGTTTTCCTGCAAGTACTTCGAGGACAGTGTTTGGAGTGGCAGCTAGGTCTTTGACAGCGTAGTTATTCTAGTGGAAGGTGGGATTGTACCCACAATTACTAGCTAGATTTTTTTTTTTAAATCTCAATCTCTGAAAACATCTAGCTCATGTTAACACAATTTTTTAAAAATAAAATAACAACGGTTTTTTTCAAGGTCATTCATTTGCATTCTTGTAAACAGAGTTGCACTTCCAGAAAATAGTTGACTATTTATTTGCCTGACCACTGACTTAAGCTTTCTTCTCTAAAAGAGGAAAAAGAGACAGCACCTCCCCATTCCTTAGTTATATCACCAGTTTCCAAACTGCCTAGAAATCTGTTGTCTTGGCTTCTTCAGTTAATTCAGGGAGTAAAAGACAGATAGGACTTATGCCAGATTTCATTTTGTAGTGAATTATTTAAAATTGTTTAAAAGGATAAATATGCTGGAAATTAAATGTGACAGACTGTTAAAAATCGCCCAAGGCAATTTTTAGAAATCTTCAGATTTCTACTCTACTACCTTGGGTAAGGAAAAATGGTGATGCTGATTACAAAGAGAGGAAAGTCAGAAGGAAAATTTAACTTGTTAAGAAGAGGCTGAGTTTAGCTCCCACGTGGCGAATTTGTGGTATAATCCAGTGTAACAGCTCTATTGTGTGCCACCCAAATTCCACCTTCAGGACCCAGGCACTCATTCTCCCAGCTATTAGGGTCATTACCTGTCCACGACTCAGAGCTGAGTCCCTTTCTAGAAATGGCCCTTAGCCAAAACTGTCTTGCCCAATGTTATGTTTCTTTCTGCAGGGGTAGCCCACATCCCATGACTGGCTGATGAGGGGGTACCAAGTCCTAGCTCCCTTGCCTCAATTTGGGGACCTCTCTGAGGGGCAATCCACATTCAGACTTCGGTGGGATTGGCTGCAGCCTTGTTGCAACAGCATCACAACTGAACTTCACCTTCTGTCCGATCTTGCTTTCCTCACCCACTTACAGGTGTTGTTTTCCAAAGCACATCCTGATAAAATTCTTGAACACTTATTTTCATCTCTGTCTCCTGAGGAATCAAACCTGAGATATCCAGGGACCAAAAAAAAATGCTAATGTGGGGGGAGGGGACAGGTAAAAGGAGTTACTTCCTTTGATTTTAATAAAGGAGATTTCTTTTAAGTTATAAGCTCTCAATTTATAGCATCCCTTAGGGCTGATTTGATGTATTAATGTGAATAACACCAGTATAAATCAATTAGCGAAGTATTTACTAACCACCCATTAGATAAGTAGCTTCTGAATGGCAATCCCCATTAACAGTGTAATTCGTTTATAATACAACCTGTTGGTACTATTCAGATGACTTTTTTCAGTTTTGATAACAAGCTCATTTTTAAAACCTGCATAGATAATAAGACCATGTGATTCAAAGGGCATAAAAGTGAGTTACTGACCCAGTATGGACCTCGTCTGGTAGTTTCCTATAAGCCATGGGAGCCATACACAATTAGCTCCTCATGAAATCTATTAAAAATGTACTTTTTTGTTTTTTAATCACCTAATGGGACAAAGTCTCAGGTCAAAGTCCTCTGTGTAATGATTATATCCAGTGTGATCAAGACATGTAGTGCGGTTTTATAGATAATATTGTGAGAACGAAGCAGGATTCATTGAGAGGCAAGAGCCTGAATGCAGTATCTCTCATCTCCATGTTTTTTCCTCATTAACACTTGTCCCAGGGCAACAAGAGCTGCCCCACTGTTCTACTGTTACCTCTGCTGGTGAGAACCCAATGCAGGTGGCCCAGCAGGACTCGAGAAGACCACAACGTTGATGCCCAAAGCACACAATCTACGGAATGACTTCTGTGATTCATTTCATTTTTGCAAGCCCAGCTGTTCAGGATTTGCTCACTTGCCCGTGATGTCCTGCAGGCTTGGGTTTGGGAACCCAGAAAAATAGCTAATTATCCCAATTTTTTAAAGTGATGAAAAAATACACATTTCCTATAACTCCTCATTATTTCAACTCTGGGAACTCCAAAATCTGTGGTGTTTCCTGTATAATGCAGCACCTCTCAACCATGACAAACCACATGTACTAAAATGCTGAGAGAAATACACTGCACAGAAGACGAATTTCAGCAGTTTCTTTCTATCTCTTTCTGTAATTTGATATTAAAATAGTGATTTAACATTTTAATGTGACATAGTTGACAATGCAGGTTTGTGCAATGAAAAGATAATTACTATAACGTTTTAAAATATTTCATTACTGCATTTTTAATAATAAAAACAGTAAAATGCTTTTGCATTTTAGTCTCAGCCTGAACTTTAATAATCATTCTTATTCAAATGACAGGATGTGGAACTATCGAATGTTGTATATATACCCATGAATGATTTAGGGTAACTATGAAATTATATTAAATTTGAAGAATACAGTTTTGTGTAGAGGGGATAAAAACCCTAATGACTTCACAGGAGAAATATTTATTGGGATATCATGTTACCTTTGTTTGTGGCATAATGGTCTCAGAGGGACGAAGTGAGATTATTTTGATGATAAATTTATTACATGGTTTTTAGGGGCCCGGGCCTGAGGGATCTTGTTGAAAAGGGTTTTGTGATCTGAGAAGCTATAAGGAACTTTGGCCTCTCACAGAGTCTCCACAGAGTGAATTGCTGTCCTTGGAGAAATAAAACAGATGCTGCCCAGGGAGGGGAGCAAATGTCTCAGGTTGGTGTCAGCTCACCAAGGAAGGGAGCAAAGAGCACACATTTCACTTCTGTCAAAAATGCTGTAATTCCTTTCAGATAGCAACTCCAAAGCATTCTTCATCTCTCTTCTCATTAAAAGCTCAGGCTGGAACAGTGAACCACTCGATCTGGAATTCTGGCTCTACCATTTGCTGACTATTTGACTCCAGCAAGTTACTTAACCCTCTGGGGCCTGTTTCCTCATCTGCAAAATGGGGACAATAATGAGACACACCCAACAGAGTTGTTATGAGGATTAAATGAGGTACTCACTCAATATGTGGCACTCAGGTAGATACACGGTGCCTTGGCACATGATTAAACTCTCCAACAATGGCAGCCGTTATTATTTTTGTAAATAAACCCTTTTTTAAAGTCCTCTTTTGTCTGCATGTGTGCGAGAGGGAACCAAGAGGGCATGACTTGTGAAATAGGGTCTGTACATTTTAATGCTTTAAGTTCCAGAAGAGAGCCAGCATAAGGCCAGAGGTGCATGCCCTCTCTGTGGCCACTGTACACCCTGGAGGTTTAGAGAACCAGCCTAGAGCAGAGTCCCCAGGAGAGCAGAGAAACTTCCAGACTCCTTTCTCACTATTCACATCTCTAGCATGGGCCCCGGGGAGCCCAGAGATTCTGGACTGGTTATAGGCCACAATGACCATGTATCAGAGTTTGCCCCCCATCCCCACTCCATCCTCCAAAAAAAGTCATTCTCCCAACTGTACTTGGAAGAAATTGCCTGGCTCCTTTTC